AATAAAGTAATATATATAAAAATACATAGAGTCACGGTTCCCAAATGGGATGCTGCAGTGAACTCACAGGGGCACCATTTTACTACTTAATAAATGGAACTGTCCTAACTGTCCCCAGGGTGCTGCAGCGCAGAGTTTGGGAACCACTAAGGATGCTGGCAAAAAAAAAAAAAAATTACTGAGACACTAAGAGTGCAGTGAACAGAGAAAGTCTGGGAACCTCTGCATAAATCTACACAGGAACTCATAGTATTTTGTATACCTGATAAAGATACTATCATAGTATACATTATATGAACCTAATAAATGATAGATGGGAATATTAAAAGAAGGTTCAAAAGCTTCCTAAAACTGAACTGGAAATCTTACATTGATGGAATAACTATTTACTTCAAACACTCGTTAATATAAGAGAATTTTATTCATATAGAATGTAGTATTTGTGTGTGTGTGCGCACGTGCGTGCCTTGGAGTCAGGTTGTTGACTCCTGGCAACTGCCTAGACTAGTCCCTGCAATTTTCTTGGCAAAATTTTTCAGAAATGGTTTGCCATTGCCTCCTTCCTAGGGCTGAGAGAAAGTGACTGGCCCAAGGTCACCCAGCTGGCTTCATACCTGAGGTGGGACTGGAACTCACAGTCTCCCAGTTTCTAGCCCGATACCTTAACCACTACACCAATCTGGCTCTCAGAATGTACTACTGTATTAACTGTTGACAAACCACATACAGTGTCATCCAAAGGACAAAGAAAAATTCAGGAAATTAACATTACAAAAAGGCTAGTTCTCCTAATTTCACTGAAGTGACATATTTCCTAGCTCTAAAGTTTTGAAGTGGGGAAGGTAACAATTCTAATATAGTACATTCAAACTGAAGTAAAATAAGTGCATAATTATATGAAAGCTCTGGCTGCAAGTACTTTAGTATGCAAACTATTCCTGTCTTGACTCTTGACAATTACCAAAATACACCAATGTACATTGATATAAAACACTTCAGTATTAAGAGGCAATCTCTTCAAATACTAAGATGGAGTGGCAATCCCACCTTTCTAATTTCAACTAGCTGAATATTTAAATATTTTAAAAACATTTTAAAATACTGTATTTTACACTACTCTCTGTAGCTTCACAAATGTCAAACATAACAATTTAAAAAGATCCTGATCATATGCATAGCTGAAGTACAAAGATATAAAAGAAACACCAACAGCTATTTCACTTTTGCTACACTTATTTCGTAGGTAAGCTAAAAACATCTGTACTTTTCTTATATAGCATTCTCAAAAGGAAAATATATAGCGGTCCCTCACATAAAGTAGAAGTAAACATCTGCTTGATGTCTGATAGATTAATGGGCTAGGGTATTAGAAACAAGATTAATATATGAAGTTTTTCAACTTGTACAACAACTTTAATTATAGGTGGAGCTGCAAGAGAATTATAGTTCTTCCTTGTGCTGGGAGCAGAGCTTTCTAAATAGCTTCAGAAGTACTACCTTATAACACTCAAATAAATAACGATTCTATATGTCATGTAGTAAGGAAAATCACTTTAAGTTTTCTCATGTAGATTATATTTTCCAAGTTAAAAAAACTGGAAAGATCTCAGAATGCTGCATTTGCACAGTATTCACCATTAATCTTCAGTATATACTTATACAATAAAGTATATTGTATATGCCAATTATTCAAGTTGGCATTGATTTTCATGTTGTCCTCCACCTCTAACAGCTAAAACAAGAAAGAAAGCTGAATATAAATTATTTAATGCTATTCGTTCATTCAAATACAAAGCATGGGTATCCACAGGGAGAGAAAACAAGTGTATGATGACATAATCACACAAATACCATGACTTACATACTTGTGTCAGACATCCAGACACAAATACATAATCACAGCATTCATGTGATTATATCACTGTATGTGTGTGTCATCATTTTGCTGTGGATGTCGCTGATATAAAGCACTGGGCTGTGGGACATAACAATGGGGCTATGCTGTCACCTAAAATATTAGGACTTTAAAGATGGATCCATTGCTCTCAAAGTAAGGTATCTTAAATGCAGCAACTCACATGTTGACACTTTTGTACAGCAGCTGTATGATTAGTAATCCCATTATATCAATTCAAACGTATATTGCAATGTACAGTCATAAACCTTGGTATGATTGAATTCTGAGCTGTTTGCCAGTATGTTTCAGTCATCAAATGTAATTCTGGCTTACCTTTGCATAAAGCATATCAATTTGAAAGGAGATACCCAGAAGAGCTTACAACATATAAAACGCAACAAAAAAATCCACATCATCCCTCTGGGTCTATTAAAAATTCATTACCCAAGATGTAAGGTAACAGGCCTCATGTTCACAATTACGCTATTATTAATACTAAAGGACTAAGCTGCCAATAATCAGCTAAATTTCTTCCAGCGTTTACTTTCACTTTAAGTTACACCCCCCCCCCAGCTAGTTTGCAAAATAACCTAAACTTTCTGGAATATTTAAGGCCTTGCAGCTGACAGAGCATCAGCCAAGGTTTTGTCTGCCCATGAACAGCTGGCATTCTCCCATTCTCACACTGTGGGTATCAGAAGCAAATAGTCTTCAACCCAAGTACTGTAACATTTTGTTTCCATATTTTCCCCCGATTGCAACCAGGAAGAGGGAAATGGGGGAGAAGCAAGCAGAGTGTGACTTGCCCAAGGTCATAAAGGAAGTTACTGGACACGACTTCCACTCCGTTGTCGTTTCTCCTAGTATGAATAAGAGGCAGAATCATAATCACGTTTGCTTCGAGTAAAGAGCCACTGAAATCAGTGATTCTTACTTTCGAGTAAACATGGTTCTACCACCGCTGGGGACGCAGTTGCGGGCTCCGACGCTTTCTTCTCGCTTTCATACTGGATGCGGCTCTTGGGCGTTCCTCTGTCACCTCGCCGGGCAGAGTCAATCCAGTAGGATAGCCCGGACGAAAGGCCCCAGCAAAACACCACTCTTCCCCTACCGGAGCCGCTTCCCGACACAGCCCTCCCCCGAGCCTCCGACACCCAGAGCTCCCGAAACCGCTCGGGTCTTGACAGAGCAGCGCCTCCTCACCGAGGTAAATGTCCCCGAAGGAGCCGCTCCCGATCTTTCGGCCAAGCCGGTACCGGTTCCCGACTCTCAACTCCATCGAGGCGGCTCGATTGGACCCAACCCAGTTGTGAGGACCCTGACTCAGAGCAGCTGAACACCAGCGACCATCGCGGCCCTTAGTCCCGTCTCTCGACGCCCGAAGTGTTCGGGGGCGGCAGCGCACCCCGGGTGGGAAGGATGGACGCCGATTCCCCCTAGCCCCGGATCCCCCCTCAGCGCAGGTAGGACCGAGGCGCCATATTATGTGACCTCACTTCCTTGGCAACAATGGGTGGAGCCTAAGACGGCGGAGCATCCTCTGATTGAAAGCCGGTTGAGAACAGGAACGGGGCGGGATTGTAAGATTGTGAGGCTTAGAGACGCCGCGTCTCCATGACAACCGCAGCTGCTTGGAACATCCGGGCCCACCTTTCGCTCATTAATTCCGTCCGATACCGCGGGGGACGGGCGGCATCTTGCAGACGACTCCTTCGAGCGAGCCCCGCCCGAAAGAGCTAAGGCAGCCACCGAGCCTGCTCTTTCTTTCAAAGATGCCCGTGCCGAAGCCACAGAATGGCGCAGAATTGGACTTACACATGACTCTTGAGCAGTCTTCCCAACCTGTTGCTGTCCCCATGCGTCGGACTTCAGCTCCCACGATTTCGAGCCTGAAAATTATGGGAATCGAAATCCAGTATATCCAGAGAGCACCAAGTTGGAAAAGACTGCTTTGTGGAGGATGTATATATAATACAAGTATTCTTCCGTAAAACCCTAAGTAATAGCAGTGCAGTGGATTTATCAACAGCATATATTCAGAACAGCTTCAAACTCTCTTGTCACATCAAAAACATGTGCAATGTAGAGCCCGGGTTTTTAATGCCAATTATTTTATTATTATATAGATTAGCGTGTTATCTTATAATTTTACATTATTTTATGCTGGTTAAAGGCTCTAATAAAGATTTTTTATTTGATTTACGATTTGGGTTTTTATGTATCTTTATATTTGGGGAAATTTTAATTTAAAGATCCAAACATTAGTAGATCAGTTGATTTTTTAAAAAATTAGCTACTAAAATATTACTATAAATTTTCAATAATATTTACTGTCAAAAGTTTACTAATGAGGAGGAAAAAGAAAAGCAATAGGAATTATTCAGATCATGATAGGGTTTAAGGTAATTGTACAAATAAATAAGATGGAGTCCAATAATTAGCTGTGCACTAATGAATATTTAGCCTATGGATATTTCTGTGTAGGAACTACATCTAACATCATGAAACTAGACATCACCTCTTATAATGACAGTTCCCACTGTTCTCTTTCCATTCAATGCAGGTTATAGGAACACATGAAAGAGGGGAAATCAAGTGTTTGTTCTCCTGGTGAACTCACCCACAATGATACAAGCCTGAAAATGACACCTATATACATGAACATCAGCAGATGGAGTACAAAGAAATCAAATTTACTATATTACTGTTACAAAGAAATGGAAGAGCTCAGTTATAACAGCAAAGATGTGGCCAGGGATTGACTATGGAACAGATCACAAACTGCTCATGTCCAAATTCCAAATCAAGCTAACTAGTTTCCACAATATGATCTTGGCATACGCCCACCATTTTCAAGAACATCATAAATCGTTTTGAACTGGTGTCAGAATGGATGGTAGAAATTGTAAAAACGAGTAGAGAAGCCAAAGCCAACAGACAAGTATCTCAGGAAGGAACTCACAGCGTTTCAAAGTGCAGTTAGAAGAGACAAGAAGCAGTATTACAATGACATCTGTAAAGGCACTGAAGATGGAAACAGACATAGAAAAACAAGAAAAGTTTTCCAAAAGATTTCTGAATTCAGAACTAAGTTCCAACCTCAAATTGCTATGCTAAAGGATTTTACTGGACATATATTTAGAAGAACTGTGTTAGTTTGTGGAAGCCAAAATCAGGAGTTTGGTAGCACCTTTTCCAACTAACAAATTTTATTAAAAGGCATAAGCTTTTGTGAACTGCAGCTTACTTCATCAGATGCATACGGTGGCTAAACTGATATAGGGTTTAAATTGGGATGAGATGGGGAGAAGGGAAGACAGGTTGGTTAAGCAGATGCAGATTACATGTGAGGCAGATTATAAGCACCATGTCAATTAATAACTGTAATGTGCTGAAAACCCATTGTGTTTACTGAGACCTTTGGAGATAGTCTGAAGTCTTTAGGTATATGTGTGTTCAGCAATCTCTCATTCAATTGTGCTGCTAATTTGTCTCCCCCCCCCCCAAAATATGGTAGGGATATCAACATCCAAGATATCTTGGAAGATATTCCCTACTTACAAGAACCCTCTAATACTAGAAGATGAAGTTAGAACAGCACTCCAGTCATTACCAAGTTGGAAGGCTATAAGAATTAATGGAATATTTACAAAAAATGATAAACTCATCAGAAGAAGAATCTGTAAAAAAATTAAGCTATGCCAGCAAATGTGGAGAATGACACAATGGCCAACCAATTGGAAGAGGTCAGTCTATCTGCTAACATCAAAGAAAAGAAACTTAACAGAAATGCAAACTACTGTAAAATATGCACACTGGTAAACAACAAAGCCAAAGAATACCAAAAAGAAAATATGAAAGACTATAGAAAGACTTTAACTGTGCTGACCATATTAAGCTGTGGGTTTTCCTTGAGAAAATGGAAATCCCAAAATATCTCCCTGTCCCCATGTTAAACCTACATACAGGGCAGGAAGCCAATTTAGACAGAACATGGTAAATAGACAGGCTCCAAGTTGGCAAAGAAGTGAAACAAGGCTCTTTCCTTATTTATTCAACCTATGTGCTGAATATATATTGAAGGATACTCAATATTGAAGGAAGAAGAGTGTGGTTGTAAAATTGAAGGAAAAAACAGCAAGAACTAGTGGTACACTTATGAAACTACTCTATAGCTGAAAGCCTGCTCTAGTAGTGAAAGCCAAGGAACATAGTGAAAAAAATGGGACTCAGATTAAATATAAAGAAGACCAAACTATTGACAACAGATACAGCAACCAGCCTTAGGATTGACTATGAAAACACTGAGTGGTGGATAGCTGTCTATACCTACAAAGATCAGAATGGTGCTGGCAATGGTTTTCCCATATTGGAGGAGACTCCTGAGAATACCAGAGTTACCCAAGAAAACAAATAAAATGGATCCTAGAACAAATCAATTCAGAGTTTTCACTTGAAGCACAAATGATCAGACTCAAATCATCTTATCTTGGACACATTATGCAAAGACCCAGCTCTCTTGTGAAGTCCATGATGCTGGAAAAGATGGAAGAAAAAAGGACAACCAGCAGCAAAGTTGGTTTGCAACTGTTCAGAGACCAGAAGGGCTAGACTGGGGACAGATTATCCTGGAGAAGGTCCTGTGGTCACTAAGAGTTGACACTGACTTGATAGCACATACAATAAATAAAATGTATGCTATTGTTTCCTGACAATTAAAATACTGGAGTTGCAAGCTGAAGAGTTCAGTGGGTAGCTACAGCATTGTCTTTTAGCCCAATTGTACAGAACCACAGATGACCTTGGAGAAGGAATGTGTAGTTAGCAAAATGTGGATTATGCCCAGGAAAGAAAGAAGGGGTTAGACAGAAAGTAACTCTGCCTTGATTCTCCTATGCATCAGATGGAGGGAAGGGAAAATACTGTCAGGCTTTAAAGATTCTATTACTGCAGCCTGTACCAATAAAGTAGAGTTCCAATATTTATTGTGGAGTGTGTTTTCTGATCTTGCTACTTTAAAAGGTTGACAACAACCAACATCATAAGGCTATTCCTGTAGGAAATAAAATTGGGGGCCATGTAGACCACCTTTAGCTCTCAGGAAACAGAGAGGATGTAAATGCAACAAATAAAATATTCATTTTTAACATTATTTTTATTGCTTACCCCCTCACCTATAGCTATTAATGGGAGCTATAGTAAATTGCATCCAAACCAGTGCAAATAACCATGTCAAGCTAGAACATTGATTGGCCTTTTTCAATATATAAAGCACTTCTTTTACCTATTCTAAACTATTAGCTTACAGCTAAAATGTCCAATATTTTCCTGGTAATATGCCAATGTAGCCCAAAACTATGCATAGCAGGGATGTACAATACCTATTTTCCTTGAATGTGCACCAGTACCTCAATAAATATACATTCTGAAATTCTACTTAATTGCTACTTATTCTAAATTTGCATCAGCATATTTTTAGTAAGACCGGTAAGCTCTTTTTAAATTGCTCTATTATTTAAATTTAAACATGTTCACCTAAAAATCAAGCAAGCACTTATATGCTGAATATTCTATGTGCCAAAAACAGGACTGAATCTGTTTTTTCTTTAATTCACTTCTACCATGTTCACCTATGTGATTGCTCAGCATGGGTATTACTTCTTATTTTCATGATATTTTCTTTTAAATTTATTGATGACACAATGAGGAAAAAAGGAAGCTAATTTGCAAATGATCAAAAACATTTATTGGTGATGAAATACTTATTTTTAAAACATTAAGGCAATGAATAAAAATAAATCTATTTTCTTAGAACCACAGGTTGCACCATCTGTAGCAAAGAAAAAATGAAGTCAGTCAACACATTTTTATTAGATTGCACTCCACAAAAACCCTTTCACTGCCTGTTTATTGAATCAGCAAGACATTAAAATAATTAAACATGTATTAATACCAAGTTTACTGAACACGTACAGTATATATCTATTTCATTTTTTCTACAAAAGATATAGAAAATCAACATTCTAAAATTAGGAAAATTTAACACACTGAGGCGTGTCTGTGCAACAAAATTCTATACTTGCTTAGTCAGAAGAGAAATCCTTACAGGCTAATGTGCACAGATACTTAAAAACTGTCCTTTTTTCAGTTTAAGCTTATATGGCAGAGCCACACCAATTTGCACATCTTCACAACAGGTTCATTTATTAGAAGAAGCTTACTAATAACATTTGCAATACAAGGTTTTGATTCTCACAAATGTTATGAAAATGAGGATAGACTGACACTTGATTGTAGCTAATCATTGTCCTGCTGATCATCAGAATGTTTGTTTCAGCAGAACCTTCTGCAAGTCATACCTGTAAAGAGTATGTTTCCTGCAATTCTATTTCCCCTTGCAGAGAGGAAAAGTTGATGACAACTCCAACTATTCTTACACTGATTAATACTCTGTGGGATCAAAGAGCTTTTAATCTACAGTGGCATTTGTCCTGATAACATTCACTAATAAGTAAGGAAGTATCCTCTTTTTAATTAAATTTAATTAATGTGTTTAATTAAAAAGGAAAACAAACCAATAAGAAAAACAAACACGATTAGAGAAAAAAATATGACACACACACATGCAAACACAGATGTGATTTTAAGGGCAAATGCAAACTTTTAAACATCCTTATTTAATATTTCTACTGAACATCTGAACAATATAACATTTGTACATCTGAAGGTAATTCATTAGGAAAAGTATTGTTAATATAACTGTGACCAGATTTGAGTAATTTTATCCTTCATTGTTTTGCTTTTTAAAGCTCTTTGTTTTTGTACAACTTTTCAGCCAGAACTATTTTCCATAGTATTAAATTCCATTGATCCAATGAATTTGCCCTTTAGTTCTCCACTGTTTTGAGATAATAATGCTAAATCAATTTCTTATGTTGCATTTATATGTGTTAGGAAACATGGACAATAAACCAACAGCAGGATTTGCTGTAATAGACTGTTGGGTGTTATTCCCAATTTCTTCAAAAAGTTTCAACCAAAAGGATAGACTAATTGTGATTAGATTTAAAAGTTCTAAAGCCATGAAATACTTTAGTAGGATTCAGCAACTTCCATCCCAAATCATCCTCCCAGAATTTCAAGAGAACGTCATACTCAATATAAGAATAATAAATAACAGTGGTAAAATCGCTTTGCTATTAAATTGATATACCTCAATCTTCAGATGTTGTAACAGTTTTAAGATGAGACCAATACATTTTATGAAGGAGTCACTGAGGTTGAGTCATTTCAAACCACAGTTGATAGGTGTCATAATTCTTTTTGCAAAATATATTCAATACTAATGGCATCTCTATTAATAATTATTTAATTCTATAAAATCCCAGCTAGGTGGCAACATTTAATTGTCCTTGGCTGATACTAAAAAGCTAAGCATGGTCAGACATGGTTAGTACTTGGATGAGAAACTCACAGGACTGTAAGCTATACTGGGAAATTGAAGAAAAAAAAATCCCATTAGAAGGCAATAGCAAGCCACTTCCATGTTATTTTTAAAAAACTACATGTCCTTGAAGGAATTGACTTGAAGGATACTTCTAGTACTATATAATTGTTTATTTTTCATTTCTTTAAATGTATTTATCCTCAAGACCAAAAAAAAAGAAAAAAAGAAAAAGGAACGGTAATTCACACTGTTGTTATTTCATTATTTCAATTCTTAATGATACAAACTGTTTCAAATTTGATATCCCTAAACCTCCATCATGCTTTTGTACAATTTCTTGAATTCTACATTTTTTATTGTTATATATAAATGACGAAAACATTTTTGCAAGAGATGAAATAAATCCTTCCAAACTTTGCAACAATTTAAGTCATCTACTTCATTTAATAATTACCCGATTTTAAGGTAGTCATTTTAGAAATCAGAGTAGTGTTTCAACCTGCAAAAGTTAAAAGAGAATTAATATCAGAGAGCTTAGGAACTATTATCACCTATCATGCCACGAATGATCTGATTTAGCTTTTTCAGAGGAGACTTCTAATCAGAACTCTAATATTTATTTTATTATTACGGTCTTACTTAAGAGTTAGGGTACACTGATTTTATTAGGCTTAGGCACACTTTAGTCATGCTTATGATCCACCTGGAAATATCCATTAGCTTGATTCTTTCCATTAAAATGTATTTGATTTTAATACTTGATTTAAAATTTATTACTTAAAAGTACCAAATATTGGCTGAAGCATGCTCAGAGTTCATTTTGTTCCTTACACCCCCATCATATAGTAAAATCTTTTTAAATTATGATTAGTATGAAAAGCAATATCAAAAATATACCAGAAGTTTTGTCAGTAATTAATCAGATTATTTACTACATACCTATACAATAAAGCTTTGCCTTTGTTGTTTGCTATGGAAAAATATCCACTTCTTGGTGAGAAATCCATACAGTAAGCTAAATATAATAACTTTCTCCTGAAGACAGGAAAATTTGAGAATACTGTAAATGAAGGAATATGGACCTGTTAAGAAGGAATAAAACTGTCAAAAATAATACAGGGAAGTGAAGACATACTATTGTTATGTTTTAAAATCATATGTTTTAAATTTCTTCACATTTATCATTACAGGACTTCTTCATTTATTAGAAGGTATTTAATTCTGATACAGCAAGGTTAGCTAATATTTTATTCAGGAAGAGGCAGTGAAGGCTTGAGATTTAGAATAAGATATGAAATTTCAGCCAGATTTTTTTTCTCAAGTAACAATTGCAAGCACTAAAACAGCCTACCTTAAAAAACTAGACCCAGATGATTGGCTTTTAGTATTATTTTGTTATGAACGAATCACTGAATTAACCTTTCTCCGAACAGATGCTTTATACTAATACTTGCAGTTGTTATAAAAGAAATATTGTTTGTTTCTTCTGCAGAGTAGATCAATTCTAAAGGAAGTTTTCATGCAGGAAGCAAGGGAGGTGTTAACTGTAGATAATCTTCGATTTCTCTTTTTGACATTTAAAATACCCTGTGTAGTCACAACATGATTGCAGAGTTACATAAGCACTTCCTGGACTAGAAGCATGTAAATAAAGAGTTCTGTATTGTTTTAAAACTTTTTAAGTTTGGTAAAATGCAATCTCTTTGCCCTCCTTGAACATTTCCATCAAAATTTTGTTGCCCGTCATCCCCTTTCACTTCTTGTTTTGGTTTGCTTTCTTCCATACAAATAAGTGCAAAAAAGGGGAAACGAAAGTTCCAGCACAGCATTAATGAAAAAGTTCTTACCAGTTTCAGGGCATCATCGACTTTATTAGAAGCCATTGCTAGTATTTCAGTTGTTGGACTGAATGCTAACGATGTAGCAGGTGTAACTAAGTTCATTATAGCTTTAAGAGGCTTAGGACTTGTTTCTCTTACACAATCATCATGTGCATACACATTCACAACTCCAGAACTAGAACTAAAAAGAGGAATATTAATGACTTAAAAACAGGTCAGTATTTACAATACATATTCAAATGTTTAAGAAAAACAAAACCCCAAAGGTTATTTCCAATTATACTTCATATCAATGAGGGGACAATTATATTACACACTAACGAAGAAATAAACTTTACATCTTTATAAATTCGGGACAAATTGCTTCAAACTGATGTTAACTCCAAAGCCTTCTACACATATTTTTTAGGAAGTAATTTCACAAAATTGACAAATAAGTTTATTACAAAACAAAAGCTATTCCTAATACTCTATCCATTTTGAATTTGCATCTGAAAAAAAATGGGACATTTAAAAACATTCAGTTATGACTCAAAGGATATCAGAATTATTACAAGTATCCTTAAATTATGAGGTATGTAATCTGTTCAGAAACCGCACAGATTTCAGCTGGTCTGACTCTCAAATTAAGGGTAAGATGTGCTGGCTAACTACCTCCATGATTATATTTGACCAACATTGTAGCTTCATGTTTGGTAGTCCTTAATTTCTAAGGGGAAGAGTTACATGGTTCATGACCACCTATGCTTCTTTGCCTGACGACAACTATTCTGTTCTGAGATGTCATACTTTGTCAATTCAATGTTAAATGTAATCATTTCTCTAAAGACAAGTTGTGGGATTAGTCCTTGGTTCAAGTTTAGCCTTTATGACAGAAATTAGGATAGACAGAAGGAAAGAGGGTTTTTTTTATTGCTTTCTGAGCACTGGTATGCAGATAAGAAAAATTATAGGAGTAGCTGCTATTAAGATTGTGCCAAAGTATTTGGAGGGTGCTTTTGGCTTGAAGCATCAAGTGGCACACTCTTCCAAGGTTTGGCCACTCTGAGCATGTGTGCAAATAAACAGACCCCTTAGGTGCCATCTTTGGGGAGATCCTTGAAGCAGTCTCAGTGATTCTTTGAGATGACATGTTGCTTTGATCAGCAGGTTTGGGAGGCACTTTGTGAATAATCCCTCTCTGAATGATTTCACCAGTCCAAGCAATTACCTCCAATTAAAGATTTCTTTATATGGAGTGGACTAATCCAGAGCTGGCAATGAAATACTTCTACAAATGTAACCTGGATCACATATGCAAAGATAATGCCTTGCGTACGTGCAGGCTTTTTGGCTTGTAAATCATGGTTTAGCAAGCCATGGCTTAATGTATATGTAATTTAGTCTCTCTCCTTGGGCACATGGATACTCAATATCTAAGTATAGGGTATTTGGCTTTCGTTTCACTTACCCACATGCAATAAATTGGCTGTTTTTAGAGACTGCAATAGAAGTACCATGCAGACAACCTTCATCAGTAAACCTGTTCAGACACCGCCTGCTTTTCACATCCCATATGAAGACTTCACCCTCATCTGATAGACAAGTACATGTTATTTAAAACAATGTTTATAAGAATTTAAACATCAAATGCTAGATATAGAAAACAAGGAAATGATTAGACTATGAACCATTTGACAATTATTCAAATTGTTCCCTTGTTATTTTAATAAAATATATTGAATGTAAATTATATAGAGCAAACTAAAAGTCTACAAAGGTTTTTTTGCTGTTGGGGAGACTGTATTGAGTTACAAATATTACTGTACTATTTTACATTTTAAGGATCACTGTTATGGGTGGTTTTGAAGTGGCTATTAATACAACAGCAATAACAACAGAAGTTAAACTAAGAAGTATTTCTTTCACCAAACAACAAATATATGCAGTCAGCAATTCTGCATGTCATCAAATCTGAATACGTTACCAGAATGTGTGTAGATTCTGCTGCCATCTGGAGAGAATGATGATGCAACAGCCTTTCCATTTATTTTCATGCTTCCAACAAATTCTTTTGTCTAAGATGGACACATAATGCCTATCACCACCATTATTTATAAGACTACTAAGTAAAATAGACTAAATCTTACTAAATGATTCTCTTCTGCTATCTTGGGAGAAATGAGAGATGCCCCAAAATAAAGACTGCATAATTTCCTTTAGTTGATTTTATCATGGTTATCCTCCTTTCCTATCTGATGCCAACTTTAGTTTGGTTTTCTTTTTTCTTTTGGAATTACTATTAGTTTACTCATTTATTCATATAATTTATTTAATGGAAATTCTTATAACACAAGGTATAAAAGATAAAATTAACAAGCTACCAATAATCACTGATTGGATTCAGCAAACTTACAATAAAATATTCTATGGATTATCAAGTATATGAATTGTTAATTATCTTAATATTAATTAAAAGGTAGCATATTGCTATCTGAACTATGCTACCCCAATCAAACATTTAAGTAGAAGCATTACCTTCATTGTAATCAAATGAAGATAACCTGATGTCCCATTAAGCAACAGGAATGTTCCATCTGGAGATACTTCGAATTTTTTGATAATCTTCTCCTCTAATCCTTTAATTCAAAGCAAAGATGTAAAGTGTAGCTCTTCCATATACAGAAATTATTTTCAAAATTTATATTCATTGTAGCAATACAATCCCCCTTGATTTCAATGAGAACTTATTCCCAGGTAAATGTGAACAGCGTTGCAGTACAGCAAGTTATTTATTGTATTATCCAAAAAATTATGTTTGATTCCTTATCATATATATAGCCTAACAATCTGGCTGAGGTTATAAAAGCAGACTATGTAGGGACAAAGGTAACAAGTAATATTTGCCTAGTATTTTCTGCTTGGTACAGAAAAATAAGAATACATTCAAGAATCTTAATGAAAATCAATTACCTCTGATATGATTTATAGGAATAATTTTTCCTTCCATCATGTCATATATATAAAATAGCTTGTTATGTACGCTAGTAGCTATAACCTGTTCTCCTTCTGCACTGAAATGTGCCTTGTAAATTGGAAAGTCTTCCAAGTGAATGCTCTGTATCTCTGGATTTGTGATACCATCCACCTTAAAGAAAAAAACAACAACAGTCCTCTCAGTACCTGCATGTACTAAGAATGTATAAATGCAAAATATTGCAAAATATTTTGGATGTATAAATGCAAAATATATTTGTGAGCCGCCCACAGTCACCCTCTGGGGGAGATGGGCGGCATATAAATTTAATTAATAAATTAATATAATACATAGTTCTTATGAAATAACTTATCTCCAATTAAGAAACCCACTGAGCTCTGCAAAATTCATGCACTCAATACTCCCCAAATAAATGACCGTAATTCAAAGCCTTCCACAAGTATGAAACTACTATTACTTATGGCAGGTGAAGCTTCAAAATCACCTCTTTTGCTTCTGAGCAAATACTGAAGAAGCCTCGCTTGTCTACATATGCTTTGGACTTAATTTTCTATCTCACATACCGCTTTCATCCCAGACCCATAGGTGTCATGGCAAAGAATATCTCAGTTTAACAGTGGCAGGAATATTGTATGGACAAAAACGAAGTAAAATCTACTTCATTTTTACCTGGAATAGTGATATAGATCGATCATGCCCAGCTGTCATAACAACTTGAGCAGTAGGATGAAATTGCACAGTTGTCAGTTTGGCATCTGATATACGTTCATTATTGGCAGGCAAGCAATTTTTCATCTAAAAGACAGAATATGAATATACAGTGATTTTAGAGCTCAGAAAACTTAAGTAGAACAAAAAGAAATAGAAAAACTAAGTAGAAAATTTCTATCAGGGGACTAGAATATATTTCAGTGAATTTGTATTAGGTCAGTTAAAGGTGCAGGTGACATTTAAAGTATACAAGTGTTCAATACCAGAAATACAAAAACTATAGAACATTTTGAAGGATGAAATGTCTCAATAAATTACATCAGCTGTAATTCACAAACTGAATGATGGGGATGAGAAAAACATTCTGAGCTTGAAAAGTTCTGAATGCAAAACAACCATTATATATTATTTGGGTTTGGAACAAGCATTACTCGTTTGGAACTCTGTCTTGCTCTCAGAACAAAAAACTTATTTTGTTCCCGTGGTTCTGAATGTTCCAAAATTCTACAAAAGGCTTTAAAAAAAAAAAAAAAAAGTCTAAGCAAGGGAGATTTGGAGAGTTTTAAATAAAGGGCCATTTAAAACAGCAGTCACATGTCCCATCCCAGTTGCTGTTGTCTTTAGTTAGCTAAAGGGAAGAGGATGGATAAGGAAGAGCCAGTGAAGCACACATTCAGAAATAAAGAACTCTTGTGGAGATAAGAGAAAGAATGCTGACGGCCCGGTAATAAGGCTGACTTCTGCTTGAAACAACCTACTAGCAGTTTGGTTAAGTGTTGTTTCCATTATTTGTTATTTTTAATTAGCCTTCACCAATATTTCTGCAGGTTGGGTGCCGAGTGTTTCGAGTTTCCACTATGCTCTATAGTGGCAGAACATTCACAGTGTTTTGAGCAGGTTTCTTTTGTTCCAAGTTCAAAGTGTTTCTTATTTGTGCACATCCTCCCTTCGACAGAAATTTTATTTAGAACATGCTTGTCTTACTCTCTGACATAAAAAGGTATCCAGAGTTGATTATATGATCAGTAAGACAGTCCCTTTCCTTGAGCTGATGAATGTGACACAGAAAGGTTTTCTTTCAGTGCGGAAGTTCCACGTAAATATATTATACTTAAACTTAACAACATATTCAAGATATAATAATGGTATCAGCAACACGGGGGCAGCATTCACAAATCTTCAGTTGCCCTCAAACATACAATTTCTCATTTATAAGCTTGCCAAAAAACAGTAATAAGGAAATGAAAATGCAGGAGAATTTTGTTTACCTGTAAAATGCCTCTTGGTAAAGAGTCGGACATGACCACAAAATTGCCTGTCTTGCGTAACAGATCATCATCCTCTTCATCCTCACTGTCACCTTAAGCAGAGGAAATTCTTGTGAATAATTATTAATCTGTGCTTAGATGTCACACAATAAGTGTGCACAAGACTGTATCTTCTATTTATACAGGCTATCAAAGATGATCCTCAATTACCTTCATGCTTGGTTTTCCTTGTTTTCTTCTTCATGCCTCTCAGTGCCCAAGAAGGTGTTGTTCCCATAGCACTTTGAAACCTGTAAAGAAGTATTATTACTAAAGAAAAAGCAGACTTATTTTATACAGATAAATCAAAATATTGTAATTAATGTTATAGTCAGACAACTCGAGTGAAGAGAATGAGCATTAAAAGCAGCAGATAAAGTGAGGGATAAAAAGGAAGAAGGGGTGGGCGGAGCCAATATTACCCTTTCCTTCACCTCCCAGCCATACATTATGACGGAAGGATTATTTAAATGAATGATAGCAGAGTTTGAAAGTGTAAGCACCTTTATCATTTTAGTGCATACAGGTAGTCCTAGGCTTACAACCATTTGTTCAGCGACTGAAGTTATGACACGCTGAACAAAGGCGCTTACGACTGGCATTCAAAGTTACAGCCATTGCAGTGCCCCTGTGGTCATGTGATCAAAATTTGGGTGCTCAGCTGCAGGGGTGCTTCAACTCCCCCCACCTATCTCCCCCCCCATCTCTGTGCTTTTGGCCACCCTGCACAGTGGCATTCCTTGGTGGCAGTGGCAGTGCTGGGGCTGAATTAGAGGCCTGGGGCCTTCAGCAGTCTCAGCTGGCTGCCACCACTCCCAGGCCTCTCCTTCAGTCCCAGCGCAGCTGTCACTGCTGCTGAGGAGTGCCACCTCAAGCCCTGCGCCATAACCAGCCACCCCAGTGCCACAGCGCAAAGCCCCAGCCTTTCTGTGTTCTGCAGGCCCTGCCGTGCCCAGCTGACCTTCACCATTTTCTTCCCGCTCTGACGAGGTGTGCCCAGCATGCCTTATTTGAGGCAGCTGCTGGCTGTGCCAGCCCTTCTTCCTGAGGCCACTTGCACTGTTCTCCAAATTGTGTGCCCCATTCCTGCGCCACTTTGGAAAGCCTTTGGAAAGATTCTGAGGTCTTCCAAGGCATTACAAGAACGGGGCACACCTGCCATTTTCCAAATAGCATGACTGGAGAATAGCAGGCATGCCCCATTCTTGTGATGCCTTGGAAGACTTCAGAATCATCAGTGGGAGGAAAACGGTGAAGGTCAGCTGGGCAAGCCAGGGCCTGTGGAGAACAGGGCAACTGGGGCTTTGTACTATGATGGCTGGCCGTCGTGTGGGGCTTGAGGCAGCACTCCTTAGCAGTGGTGCTGGCTGCACTGGGACTGAAGTAGAGGCCTGGGAGCAGTGGTGGTTGGCTGAGACTGATGAAGGCCGTGGGCTTCCAATTCAGCCCCAGCACTGCTGCCGCTGCCGAGGAATGCTGTTATGCAGGATGGCCAAAAGGGCAGAGATGCGGGGAGGACGTAGGTGGGGGGGGAGTTGAAGCGAAGGGGAATGCAGCAGGCGTTACTGAGGTACTTGCCTAAGACAGCACTGTCCTGGCCTAATGACTGCAACTGTAACTGCCATCGCTAGGTGGTGTGGTCACGTGGTGTTAGTGATCGAAGTTCCAGTCCCAATTTTGGTCACAAGTCAAGGACTATCTGTACTCTCCTTCCTATTTTTGCATTCAAACCTTGGCAACAAAACCATTTTTCTGTTACCTCTTTAACTTTCTGTATATTATATTCTGTATATATTCTGAATTCCACAAATATGACTTTGTGTCGTAGAATCTTTCATTAGAAATGTAATTATATGTATAAGAAAAATGTAAACTGATTTTCATGTTGCAGATTGTAAGAAAAAATGTAGGACCACCATGTGCAGTAGGCAAAAAAAAAAGTAAGTAAAAAAAAATATGTTGCTACTTCTTGCATTTAACCAAACATTTCAGATTGTAACTGAAATACTTTTTAAAAATATTCCCAAAGATGGCATTATATAACATAACTTATGTTACCAATAAAACATACTGTTCTTTAAATCTTCTTTGAACTTTTCTTTTTGAAAGCTTCTTTTCTGCATCACTTTTCATCATGTTTTTCCGATACCGATGTGTCATGTCAATTCTGGGAAAACAAAGTCATATACTAAATTCTTACAATTCTCTACTCATTCATATAATTAAATTTTTAAAAGGTAAAGACTCCAGGCTTGACTCCTGGTAACTGCTTGGATACATCCAGGCAATTTTTTGGCAGCATTATGGAAATGATTTGCTGTACCTTATTCCATGATTTTTTTTTTTTAGAGTTTTGGATGGTTTAATGATGCAGTATGACAATCATATTACCATTACTCCTGTACCATTTATTAGCAATATGCTGCCTTTATTATTATTCTATATACTTTTGCGGTATATTATATATTTTAATGGATTTGAACATGCCCAGGGCAGTATGGTTGTTGAACTCTATAGTAATGTGACAAATACTGTGTCATATACTAGATCAGATTTCTTTAACTCAGGCATCCTCCAGATGTCAGAATTTCAACTCCCAGAATTGTCAGCATGGCCATTTCAAGGGTGATCAAGTTGGGAAAAGCTATAGTACTGTAGATCCTATATTAATGTCTCATTATGGCTGAAGTACCAGACAAAGGTTAGGAAGGTAAAGGTTCAGATCTTAACACACAAATTAAATGCTTTCCCAATCAGTTTGGCTGATTTCATCTGACTATTTTTAGAATAAGACGGATGGCGAGGGGACTATAAGACATGTACTCATTGGAGGAAAGGCAAGATATAAATGCAAAAGGTAAGTGTATATGTTGCAAAGAGCAGGCTGCATTCACATTTAACTTTATCTGATCAGCAACAAGAGTACCAAAGTAAAACAGAGTAGTCAGGCAATATTTTTTAAAATGTGAAGAAAGCATTCAAGTTAATTCTTAAATTAAAAAACTAGAAAAGATAGTTAAAACATTTACACCCAAATTTTAAATATATTAAAGAAAAGTCCAAACAATTCAATACAACTTGCTTATTACATCATTTGACTGAAATCAATTTATTGAGTACTGCATACGTTTCTTCAGTTTCATCATCCTCATCTACCCATGCTGGCTTTTTCAGTGGAAGGAAGTTGTCTTCTGTGTCATTCTCCGTTTCAGAATCACCAGATTCTTCTTCGGGAAGGTTAATACTAACCACATCACTAGCCTTAAATTAAAAAAAAAAATTAAAAAGAAAACTTGAAAGCAGAAGTTTTAAATGTTTTCTAATCCATTTAGAGAACTATTGTTATGGGGTGACACTACTATTTCTTTCCACATAATTTACCTTAAAAGAGCACTTGAAACTACTTACAGGCCCAGACTCAGCTTTAAATTCCCAAAACCCCTGAGTCACTTATTTCTAGCTTGCCTACAAGGGGCCCAATTGTTCCTCTTATACGCACAGTCCTTTTTACCAAAACCAAGCAAGAAAATGACACCTGGCCTATCAGTGCAGATGAAATGCAACACAACAAGCAAGTGGAGGCTTCTGTTGTGATACATTTTTAACTCTAATAACCAGAAAGGAACAGGGAAATAAATGTAAGAGGCAATATAATTTGCAATGGGTATAGAAATTCTTTTTATTACTAAATAAAATACATTTTTATGATTCCCCAGAGCATCACTTGATAGTAGTTTAGAATGAAGGTAAACACTGCTCCTTTTTATATATTACTGAATAATTTTCTCTACTCTCCTAAAACAGTTTTGTAATATACTGTGATTTGCAGGTACTTAGATTAGTGATCTTACTACTTCACTTTAAAAAATGAGAATTATTTTCTTTCTTGCCATTACACTTGCTGATGTAAATGTTTATTACCTTCTATAATCCTTTTTATTCTTTTTAGTAAAAGGGAACATTAGAAATAAAGTAGTAAAGGAGTTGTTGGCAGGATAACCCTCTGAAAACAATACAGGACAAAATTTGGTGTGGGGGAGAAGGCAGCAAAAGAAAGACTGAGTTTAAAATCAGGCAGCTCTAGTTGGGGTTTGCAAGAAAAAAAATCCAGAAACACATCAGAATGCTTCTCATTCCTCCATTCTTAAGCACCCCCCTCCCTCCTAGTCAGGAAATTTTATTAAGGGGTTGAAAGGAATTCAAGGAACTTTGACCTCCAGGCTTTCCCCACCTTCTTAAGAGATAAACTTGTCATTTAGCTGGGCTGACAGAACATTCATTTTGACATTGTGCTCCCAACTAAAGTATTAACATAACCTTGCATAGGACCTGGTTACTTGAAGGACCACCTGTCTCCCATAGTATCTGCCAGGTGATCCTATCTGGCAGGGTTGCTCTGGGTTCCTTCAATTAATTAATGCCATCTGTTCTGTGTAGCAGCACCTGCTCTCTTGAATGAGGTCCCCCCTCCAAGATTCAAATGGCCCTGGTGTTTCAAAGGGCCCTGAAGACCTGGCTCTTCATCCAGGCCTTTGGTGAGTGTGACTGAAGCCCCCTTTTCTTTTCTTTTCCTTGGGTCCCAGCTGGGTTTGTGGTCTTTGCTCTTTTTTTGTTTAATGTTTTAACAATTTGAAAACTGCCCAGACACTGGGACCCAGGCGGCATATAAATTTAATAAATAAATAAAAACCTTATCTGAATGTTTCTGTTATCTACAGTTAGTCCTCGTTTAACTACCTCTCATTCAGCAACCATTCAAAGTTACAACAGTGCTGAATGAATGGTACTTACGACTAGTCTTTGAAGTTCTGGCTGTCCCAGGACCCATAAAGTCATGTGATTGCAATCTTGACGCTTGGCAACTGGCTTGCACTTATGAGGATTGCAGTGTCCTGTGGTCACATGATTGTCATCTGCAACCTTCCCTGCCAGCTTCCCACAAGCAAAGTCAATGGGAAAGCCAGCACGGAAGGTTACAAGTTGTTCTGGTAAGTTGCTTGCATTCTCCCCCACCTGGCAGCAGCCACCCTTGGCTCTGCCATGCTCACACTGTGTGGGCCACTCATGCACCCTCCCCTCCCTGGCAGCAGCTACCCCGGCCCCACCATGCTGCATGCCTTGCCTGCCTGCCTGCCTGCAAGCCACCTGGGATTTGCTTAACAATGGCAGCGAGGAGTGCTGGGATTGCTGACACTCCACAATGCGGTCACCTGACATCCCACTTTACAACTGCACTGCTTAGTGATGGAAATTCTGGTCCCAATTACTGTTGTTAGCCAAGGACTACCTGTATATTCTGTATCCTTAATTGAAACAGCACATGAGAATCAAGTTTATCTGTTCATCAATTAATAACTTCATTTCTTCTGAAGATTTACTACTAAATCAGTAAATTAAAAAAAAAATCGTTTCTCCCCCACGAACAGAACAGGTAGAACATTCCATTAACACTTTTAGCTCTTCTGCATCTTCACCTATTACACAACCCAAGTGTAGAAGGTTATGGACTAACGGTCAGGACAAATGGAGAGATAACCTTCAAAACATAACAGCTATGTTTAATAGAATGTTGTTTTGATACTCTACGGGCTATTGAGCCATCTCATGGAAAGAAAAGAGCTACCTGTTCAGTCCCTGCTTGCCACACAGCTTTTAGAGCAGTGTTTTTCAAACCTGGCAACTTTAAGATGTGTGGGCCTCAACTCCCAGAATTCCATGCTGAGGAATTCTGGGAGTTGAAGTCCACACACCCTGAAGTTGCCAAGTTTTAGAGGAACAAAGAGGTTGAAAAAGGGGGGAAGGGACAGAGAACTTCAGTCATGAGCCCACTCCGATGTGAGAAAGGCAAGGCCCCTGTCCCGTCACCTGGGCGCACGAGCCTTGAAACCGCCGCAGCAAACCTTCGCCTTCCTCCACATCTCCGAAGACCAGCTCCTCCAGGCCACGCTCCGAGGCGGGCTTTTCCGCGAGGAGAGCCAAGTGCTGAGCTCGGTGGACGTCCTCTTCGGAGACGGTTACTTCACGCCGATGCTCTCCCGTCCGATGTCTTTTTCGAGGAGACATCTTGCCGGAATGAGACCCAATCTTTGCCTCCATGCTTTCTCCCCTCCAGGAAACGCGAACCGGATGTGAAAGGCCCACTTCCCTTTGCAGGAACCGGAAGCCTTCTTCGGATGGGTTGCCCTAGCGAAGTACGGATGTTCTTATGCAAACACCGCCTGTCAGTGGGGTTTTGAAGAACTTGAACTGAGGAGCTGGGCAACAAGTCCACATTCTGCTTCTTCCTTTCCGTGCATGGTAACGTTCAAATTAAGTTCGGAGGTATAGGATTTCCGCAACTCCCTACACTTCCGATGAATTTCTCTGGAGACGCACTCACGTGACTCCCCGAGCTCCGCCCTCTTCCACGTGACACCCATTTTTCAATTTAGACTCCCCCTTTTTTTCCCTCAAAAGACTCAAAGGGTTGTGCCATCGCTTCCGAGGTCATGGGGGGAAAAAAACAAATCGTTTTATTTAAAAACATATAACCAACACCTCTTTCTCCTGAGGTTGTGAAAGCCTATCTGCAACCCCGACGCACAGTTCGAGCCAGCCACCGCAGCTCCTTAGCCCCGCGGTTTAACCGCCTCGGAACTCCCCCACCTGCTTCTTCACCCACTTCCGCATCATAGATGAAGCCGCCAGCGCCGTCCTACGAGGGAGGACGATCCAAACAGCGGGGCAGCCAATGGGGGCGCGCCGTGGGTGGGGGCCGTTCTGCGCACGCGCAGTCCGGTTATGCTAATGTTGTTGATATTCTGGGGCTTGGAGTGGACTGTCTTTTCTCTCGCTCCCCGGGTTCCCTCGTTGAAGTGGGAGGCTGAACTGTCTCCTTTCTCCACCCTGGCCCTGCCCCTCGGAAAGGGGAGGGGGCTGAGCCGAGGGGGCGGGCGGGGGGTGGAGAGTGGGGACGGTCGGAGGCATCCCTTGCCCATGAGGGCCTGATGGAAAACACAAAGGATCTGGTAAGTGGGCTCCCGCAAGCCCCAGCGATGGGGCAGCGCGGCGTGGGGAGGACCCCGCGGCAGAGGTCCAGCCGTTGGGAGGAGAGGGCGAGCTGCCGGGCGCCGCGGCACCTACCCCGTCCTGGGGCGAGAGTGACAGGGCATCGGCTCTCCACCTGGACCGCGCTGGGAAGAGAGGGACCCGAGAGCGGGGACCGGAGAGAAACTCGGTCACCCTCCCCAGGCTGGGTGACCTCCCCACTCCCCCTGCGTGTGGGAGGCGGCTGGCGCTTGGGAAAGGTGTTTCGCCCTGTGCAGGGTGCTGCGAGGTTCCCTTCTGGCTTTCCTCGCCTGCCTTTCACGCGCGGTTCGGTTCACACAGCGCTCGTAGCCAGGTCCAGCATTAACCCATTTTCCGGGTTTGCACAACGTTGAACTGTTAACTACCCGAACGACCTGGGTGCATACAGCGTGCTACTGTAAACGCAAAACAAAACCCTGATCAAGTTGTCCACGTTGTGTAAATGCCGTCAGAAGGTTTGTAACGTAGAGGGTTTCTCTCGTTGTACAGAGCCCTTGTGTACCGAATCGAGCAACCCTTTCTTTGTGATAGCTGCGTGAGCAATAGTTTATGGTCAGAAAGTGTGTGAGAGGAGGAAGTGGAGGAGGTCCTAAGGAAGTATGTGCTGTTTGGCCATGTGTAATATTTGCAGCAAACATGCTTTGGAGGGAAATGTACACAGTGCTAAACAAATAATAGCCAGTTAATTTTTTCCTGTGCTGTATTTTGTTTGTTTTATTTGGGAAGGAAGAAAGTGGTACCCAGAGGATACATAGAAAAAAATTGGGTTTGTAAAACAGTTTGAATGCCACAATTTGGTGGATAGTAATGCCCTCCATAATATGGCTATTAAGGAAAAGGGAAACATAATAACTTAGGAGTAACTCAGATTTTTTTTTTTTAACTTTTCTGCGATTTTACATAGTTCTGTGATCTGACTTCACCGGACAGAAAATGAATGAGGCAGACTTAGGTTCATGTATGACCAGATTAATTTTAAAATGCTCCAAACTACAATGTATTGCTTTCTTAATATGAATATCAGGCATTAGAAGAAAATAGTCAAATAGACATACATTGTATGTTGGCCATATGCCAGTTTCATTATGTGTTAAATATAGAATTTTTAAGAGCAAAATTGATTTTCCCTCATTTTATTAGCTAGTTTCATGTTAATGCTGAGTTCAGTGTATGGCTGGATATACTTTGACATACTCATTAGGCAAAATGCAAGATGTCAAAACAGATTTCTTTCTGACATGTAGAAAAGGGCAGCTATATGAAAGTGTTCTATCTTTTCTTTTAAATGGGTCAATGTAGTCTTGGTTTTGTTGACACTGAACTACATTTGTTTCTCACTTTCTTCAACTAGTTTGCTTTTTCATTAAGTGTTCAGTATAAGCTTGTTTACCATTTGAATGCTATAACTGTTCAGTTATGCCTTTTATTATTCAGAATGACCTGAGAGATGTTATAAGCATATCCATTCTCAGTTTCTTTCAAAGACTCCAGACTGATTAGTTTGTATTATCCCATTCTGTCTGTTGTCATTGTATCTCAGGATATTTAACGTGGTGGAATTTTGTCTTGTAAATTGTCTTCCTTGATAAGAAACTAATTGGAAATTAACTTTTCTGAAACACAATTTACCAACATTCTCCCATTATAAATCTTCCCAGGATACTTGATCGATTGACTAATATAAATTGTGTATGAACTAAATATATATTTACAGTTAATTCCATAAATGTGTGTAATGCATTTAGATTTTTCAGAAGATAGGTTGTAAAAAAGTTTCACTGATTATAAACATTGTGAAAATATTTGATAGTGGTTGCCTAAACACAATGCTAAGCCAACGTCTTTTAGCCATAGTTTGTTTATCAAATGATAATAGTCATGTTTAGCCCAAAACAAACTATGTTGCATATTTTAGTGTGTGAATTTAGTCAGAATATGTTACATACCAACTGGGATGTGCTTTATTCTGATCTAAAGCATGATTTATATTTGATGATAAATAATAATTAAAGTTATAGGGTATTATAAGGCTATAAGAGAGCATAGTTCAAACAGTCTGTTGCACTAATAAGCATGCAAATGAGGACCAGTGAGAACTGAACTACTGCATGTTTATAATATAGATTAGTTGTGGTAAAGGAACAAATCCATGATTATTTTTCTGTTTA